GATAGACTGTGGTTTTGAATTGCCAAAGTTAATTTACTTCCATTTAACACGGACAAGTGCAAAACTGTGCATGTCCGCCACAATCCCACGTACGCATATAAACTTGGAGACAACATTCTGAAAACCGCCTCACAAGAGCGAGATCTTGGGGTGGTGATCTAAGACGAGTTTGGCTGTTCGGCACAGTCCTTGAAGGTGTCCAGAACCACGAACCTACATGTTGGTCTGTTACGGGGGGGATGTGCGCATGTTTCGATCCCTTTATCATCACCCAAATGCTCAAAGCGTGTGTGGGGCCCCGTCTAGAGTACGCGATCCAGGCTTGGCAACCCTGCCTAAAGCGCGACCTGGTTGCACTGGATACCGCACATCGACGAGCAACGAAAAATGTGAAAAGTTTGTCTTATCTGCACTACAATAGGCAACTGAAAGCGCTGGAAGTGTACAGTGGAAGATATCGCCGTCTACGAGGTGACCTCATCCTGGCGTACCAGATTTTGAAAAACCCCAGTCACGCTTGCCCAGACCTCCTGAAGCTTAGCTGCAACACAGAATTGAGGTGTCATAAATTGAAACTCGTCACCCAATACCGTCGGCTTGTGTGCCGCCGGAATTATTTTCCTTTCCGGTTTGTCAACCGTTGAACGCTCTTTCAACCGTTACCAATTCCGCGCCCAAGCTACCGATTTTTATAAAAGGACTTTACGATGCTTTAGATTATTTACATTACTTGATCTGATTTCTATTCATTGAATGACAACAAGACGCAGACAAATATTGTGCTCACCAACCTTACGAAGTCCGGGTTGACGCATATACCTATGTCTTAATGTGGATAATATACTGAGTCCACAGATATGTTTTTCACTTTTGTGTAACTTAAGTGAACTAAGGTTATTCCCACAAACCATTCCACGGGACTTGTCAAGCCTTGGCTTTTTTTATCCGTATTATACCATTATTCCATTGTTCCCTTGTTCCAAGACTTGGTCTAGTCAGAGTAGACAGCGACAGAAGTAGTAGAACCTTGGCGGCGGCATGGGTAATGCCTTCCATCTGAACTTCGGTTAAAATCTGCTCATAACTTGAAAAGACCAGAAATGAGCCTACTTGAATAAAAACAAAGCTACCAGCGATTACGCAGCAGCAAGACTTTATCGCTCGGTCACGGGATTCTGCAGTATCGGACGACGAATGGGACGTATCTTGGCCAAAGCAACTTGCGAGCGACGTGTCATAATCATCCCAGCAAAAAAATGAATAACGGACGACCTCGCATCGGTCGGCATTCTACCACACTTGACTGCTTTGGCTCCCTGTTGGTTCCTAGAGACCGCGAGACTATCCTGCCTTTATACAAATGCTCAAAGCATTTTCAATAAGCTGGCCGAACTGTAGGATCGCCAAATTGCAAAGCCATGCGATACTATCGGTGTCACGGAGACATTGTTACACAATGCGATGTCAGAAACTGAAGTCTCGCTGCCGGTCATGTCACTCATGCGAAACGACAATTTGACGAAATGAGGAAGGATATTCTTTACTACCGAAGCGACTTACAGTGCCAGGCCCTTGAGGATTCAGACTTAGATTTCACCGATTCTCTTTGGTGCCCCCTGTAGGTACATGACAGAGACACCTGTCCTATGGCTTTGGTGTACCGCCCTCCAAACTGTACACCAGGAATGGGCTGCCACCTTGCGACAGGTTTATGATGCAGTCTAAAGCGAAAGTACATTCACATCCTTATCATGGGTGATTTCAACGTACACTGTTTAGAAACTCGGAGAACAATTCAACACAGTTCCGCAGGAGCTCATAACCAGTGTTCCACTTTACGATCACGTCATTATGCCCACTGGTTTCAGAACAGGTCATAAACCATCTTTGCCAGATCTTGTGTTCACTAACGAGCGACAAATGCTTAATGTATTGATTGTAGAATGCCATTTTGGTCGCAGTGATCATGCAGTCATCAGTTTTCACTTCATCTTCTATACGGAATATCACCAGCAGAACACTGAGATGGTGTGCACCATTACGCGCTACGACCGTTTAGCCCAGCCAGTCAGTGCCACCACCTGGCCGTTCCTCGCTGAATACCAGTCGGAAGTCGCGTAGCTTGAATGCGTCCGCGAAATCCGTTAACTGGTTACGGATGCCCCAGCGACAAGGGTTTGCGGTGGGCATAAATCGTTACTTTCGTAAGGAGCAGAACTAACAATGGATGACTGTACGCCACGTGGCCTGGCGAGATACTTGGGACAACTACGTAGTCCATCGCAACCATTGCACACAAATGCTCAGAAATGACAAAGCCGCTTATCAGCCGCATATGGTAAAAACCATCAGTGCCAACCACAAACTGCTGTACATGCATGGCAATGGCCGTCGTAAGGTGAGGCATGGAATTCATGCGCTCCAAACGACCGATGAGCCAACCAGAACAGCTATACAAGCAGCGAAAGCGTTGCGAACGCAATATATCACCACATTTCAAAGGGTCTTACCATCAGGCCATCTACCAGCTTTTGTTTTCTCGCCTCCAATACTCACCCACATCAATTTTACCGCCGAAGCTGTTGTGCAGAAACTGACCTTTCCGCGCAACTGCAGCTCCCCGGGAGTCGACATCAAGCACCCAGGGGCACTGGGAGCAGCAGCATGACAACTGGCAAAACCTTTTGCACCGCTCTTCCAGCGCTGCTTAGACCAGAACCAGGTTCCTGCGATGTAGAAGTTTGGAATAATAACTCCGATTCACAAAGATAGAAGCAGGACTGAGCCCTCAAACTACCGCCCAGTGGCTTTTCTCTCTGTCTTATCCAAGGTCATGGAATGCATTGTTGCCGATGCGTTGGTGATTATCTAGCAAATTGTAACATTATTGCTTCCGAGCAACACGGCTTTCATAGACAGCTATCATACACAACGAATTTATTAATCGCACGGAGTAGTTGGACCGAGTCAGCTGACGCTGGAGAGGCCGTCGATGAGCTCTACTTGAATTTATCCAAGGCTTTCGATCGTTTAGAGCATCGGATTCTTCTCTCCAAGCTCCAATATTACGGGATCGACGACCCTCTCTTGAGCCGGATCAGCAACCTTCTCCTGCAACCGCACTTAGTGGTCAGAGTCCGAAGTTCTTTATCTGACCCCATACCAGTCGATTCTGGTGGGCTCCAAGGCGCAGTTTCAGAGCTATGATTGTTTTTAATGTTCATCAATGACTTTGCGGAAACAATCGCTTCAAATTTCCTGCTGTTAGCTAACCAGATCAAGCTATGGAGCCGGAATCAGGCGGTTCCACCCGCACTTCCATATCTGTTCTGACCGTGTGCTGGTGTGGCTTTAAAGCAGGGTTGCCATCACTAATTGAACTCATGTTTAGGGCGCCGGATTCAGGCGGATGCCGGTAAGAATTCACTCATGTGTGACCTAGATTTGGTACATGTGTGGTCAACCGGAAATCTGCTACAGCTCAACGTGGACGAATGTACGTTACTCTACATACCATACCAGAGTACTTATTTCTACAGGCTAGTAATGCAAGTACCGCAGCCACCATCCGTGGAAAGCGACCTTGGTGTGCTTGTTCAGGATAATTTGGATTGTTCCAAGCAACCTTCAAAGGCATCGAAAACTGGTAACCAACATGTCAAGCTGCTATGACGAACGTTCGGACAAATAGACACCTCTATTTTCAGACATGCATTGAATGTGTATGTTCCCCCCTATGTGGAATACGCAATCCAGGCCCGGCACCCATGGCTGAAGCACGACCTCACCGCACTGGACTAGCCTCAAGGTAGGTCTTCTACGTCATTCGAATGCGCCACCTTCCATATGAGCAGTGACTGAATCGTTCAGGAGTATTCAACGGGCGGTATCGCCGACCACGAAGCGACTTAATTATTGCGTATTTGATTTTACACAATCCAAATCATGTGTGCCGCTCTTCACTGCAAATCAGCAGGAACACCAACCTTAGATGCCATTGCTTGAAGGTAGCAGAACAATACAACCGCCTGAATTGCCGCAGAAATTTCTTTTCCATTCGCATGTGACAACCATGGAACGCTCTCTCCCAATTGGTTGTTTCTGCGCCAAGGCTAGCCATGTTTAAAGTCGGTTGGATGACGCACTCCGCCACTTCCATTTTGTTACTTGAAAACACTCTCCATCCTGCTTCCGGGAAATATCTAAGACTTACATTTTTGCCTACTAAAGCTATGGAAACACTCAGAGTGCAGGGCTACGACATTGCATAAGAGAAGTCCATTCTTTTGACAGTAGAACCACTAACTGCATTTTTGTTTATTAACGTTATTTGAGAACCAACCACACCAATCAACGGGCTTGTAAAGCAGTGCTTCTTAGCTAGTATAAAATTATCGTTATTTGTTCCCTTTGCGTAGTAACGAAATGTTCACAAGCTGACTGTCCATCTCAGCGAACATCACAACTGTGGAACCACCGACCAGAACTATCACTGTCTCGTCTGATCTCCAGTGAAGACTCCGTTTGCCATTGTTTAGTAGCATGCAAAATAACTGATTCAAACGCGTGCTTCATCACTTCGTATGGGCGATTGGTCTGAATGATCCACAAACTGACGCCTAGCTGCCACAGAAAATCATGGCTCTTTACTCATTTATTCGCCTCCGTGCAACCACTTAGGCCTCATTGCATGTACTGCATTTGAACGCGCAAATATCCATATACTTTCTTATGGTTTACAGTAAAAATACAGAAGGAAAACTTGTGAACGTTCGTTTTGTCCATCAAATTAGTTATTTTACCATGGCCAGTAACATATTTTATTCGGTTTCCTCACGGATTTCTTCACCTCCGCTTCAACATGTTTGCTTCCCTTCGACTAATACTTTGAAGAACCTTTCCGATCCACCCTCTTCCTTTGCTCTTTAGCCACATTCCATGTGCTAACTCTCGCCGACGCCCATAAACTAACGCCTATCCCGTTTATTTCTGTCTCTCAGGTGTATAATCCACAATCATCTACGGTGATTAAAGAGCTATCCGATCTATTTTTCTTTGACTGCACCAATTGTACATCGTTTTCTACAAAAGGCTTCCGAAAAAGTGAGTCAGTAAGGTTACATTTATTAAATATGTGTAATTGCTTTCCCCTGGCGAACTCCTACCTAAAACCGTCAGCATTTCCCATAAGTGATACAGTGATTTGGAATCTTTTCACCATTTAGGAGAATCATGATAAAAAGATTCCAGCTATCAATGAAATTGCCTCAAATCGGTCTGTTCACCGTCAGGTGACTATCGGGTCGTAATCATGGAACTTTATACACACACTAAGCGCGTTAGCTAGAGGTGAGAAACACCTCAGCTACTGTGCCGTAATACCCAAAAAAAGAAAAACGGGAATAAATTGCAACAGGTGCAAGCCAGCTGAGCTACCGATAACGGATGGGCATGGTTCCGGTAAGCTACCTGCCGGCTACTATGCAGCAGAAAAAAAATTTATTATGCAAAATTATAAAATGCTAACTAATGAGATCTTGGTTGGAAGGGGAGGCTAAGAGGGATGGGATAGGACCAAGAAACTCACGGCACAAACGTCACTGAGGTCGGCTCTTAGCCAAATAACAAGTGTACCCAGCAAAACATGTTCATCGTCTTTCGGACCCCAACCAGGGAGCCGAGACACCCAACCGAGGCCAGCTTCGAAGTGAGGGCCTTCATTCCTCTGGACAAAGTCACCGCTTGGCCACCCCTCTTCTTCTTCTATTCACATCCCCTGGCATGCAAACAACGTACGTCGCGGGAATTGGTGGGCTAGCATGCGTAACACATGCCCGAGCCATCGGAGCCTGGTGCATGAAATAAGGTGCTGAGCGGTTCATTTCCATTTCCTGTGCCGTAAACAAGGCGTCGAACACGCTCGTTGCTTACTCTGTGTTTCCACTAGATGTGCGCTGAATTGCGAAGGCACTGGTGGTCAAACATAACTAAGCTCTTTATGTCCGCTGAGATAAGGGGCCAGGTTTCACAACTGTACAGTAGGGTAGAAGGTACCGCTGCATTGTACACTACCCTTCAGGGCAAGTGTGATGTCGCGCCGGAGCCATAAGTGGAGAAGGTTAGCAAAAGCGCCCCGAGCTTTTGCTATACGCTTCGTGATCTCATCTTCAACCCCACGGGCGCTGATACAACTTCCCAGGTAGTTGAATTTCTGAAGGACTTCTGGCTGATCCCCACCAACGGTCAGCGTAGCAGGCGGTCCAGGCCAATCTTGGAGGAACGCTTTGCACTCCGATGGTGCAAAGCAAAGCACGACTGACGGACAGCCACTGCTAATCTGTCTAGTGCAGCTTGGAACTTTTGTGAGCTGTTACAGATTAGGGCAATATCATCAGCATATTCTAAGTCAAGAAGTCGTCCTCCTGGGAGTAGCTGCACACCTGCTAAGTCGCGTCATGTGAACGCGATTTCTATTACTTCGCCAAGGGCAAAGTTGAAAAGGAAACGTGATAGCGGGCGTCCATGTCTCACACCGCTGGAGATACTAAAAGGCTGCGACAGCTTGCCGTAAGCCCTCACTCTGCCTGAGCTACGCGGGTATAATGATCGGATGATATTGATATATTTCTCAGATACGCTCTTCCTGAGTGGACAGTCCCAACGTGTACGTCTATCTACCGAATGGAATGCACATTTGATATCGAGGAACACGACAAATCGAACTTTATTGATCTGTGTCGCTAGAGACAGTTTCTCACCTCATGAGAAACATACGTATTATTATTATATCGAGCTATTTAAAATAATAATAATAATAATAGGAATATTTTGCACGAGATGAGAAACTCTGTCTCTAGCGACACTGATCGATTTGCACAAAGGTATCCATGCTCTTGTATGGGCGATATGCACAGGTGGAACAATGGGGTATGCGTTTCAGGCAGTTAAGCTCTTGGAAATCACCTTGTGCTATCTTGTGTATGTCTACAAATGCCTACAGGATTAGCGAATGCTTGGTGCATCTGCATACGAGATAAATTTCTCGGTACTGTAACAACAATGCTTGCATAAGATGAGTCGGGCCCGGTAGTTGAAAAGATTTTATCTGGTAACCAGGCTGAATTGGACCCCAGCATCCATGGTATAGTTTACTGACGACACAGTTGCCTGAAAGTAGATTGTTTAACTTTGTATTCCTATCATTTAATCTTTATAGATCATCAGATAAGGATATTAATAAGGAGGCTGCAAGCATTTGAATTAATTGGCTTGGTTTTAGAATTCAGCTAACCATTCAATCATATTCCATTCAACTTCTGTGTGTTCAGCATCACAAATATCGATGGTGCAGTCAAATCAGTCACTGCCCTACACTTGCGTTATTTTACAGATTAGTCGCAAGTGACCGGTGCTCGCGCGACCCCTGTAAATTTCATTCGTTTTCCTGCTTTACTGGACCAATAACAATTGCTTAGAACAAACAATTAAAGAAATAACTAGTATATTGCTCGACGGTACTCGACACAGAAACACTCCGTTTTCTCAGCATTACTTTGTGGATGCGACGAATTAGTACAGCAAAGCTTCCGAACACTACATCTGGCTATTACCCTATTGGCTTCCTTTTCCTGAGTAATCGATTTATTGCTAAAAGGCAAACTTTTCTGAAAATAAACTAACGAAAATTATACAGGTACCTCCAAAGTGCCCTCAACGATGCAAGAGCTCGTGAGTGTATCCACCTTTGCAACAACTCCCTGGCAAATTCCTGACTGACCGGTGCAGGCCGCCATCTGCCTTTATTAAAATCAGCCTGGGTTCAGTGACCACTGCCATCGCGTACAGAAGGCAAATGTTGCTGTGTCTAAGCAGGTTGCGCAAGTACTGTCACGTGCTGTCACTGCCACCTTCGTTATAATATTGCCATTCATAAAACCCGGGAGAAGCAAGCATTTAGAGAAACTGTTATCTTTTGTTGTTCTCGTTGCTTGTGGTTATTCGTTTATTATTCTTGTCATTGTTGTCCTTGTCTTTATTGTTGTTGCTGCAGCTGGTGTTGCTGTTGTCACCGTCGTTGTCGCCGTTGTAGTTATTGTGATATTGTTGTCGTTGCTGATGCGGCTGTGGTTGTTGTTTTGCTTTTGTTGTTGCTGTTGTTGTTATTCTTGTTGTTGTAGCTTCCGTGCTGCACATTTCATGCAACGCGATACGTTGTTTTGTCGCATACGATGACTGGACCGATTTGCTAGACCACGGCCAGCAACCTAGAATTGCGATCATTGACTAAGATCTCTTAGTTGTGTGCTGCGACTAAACCAGCAACCGAATAACCATGGGAATGTCAAGTGGTTCCTTTGATTCATTACGACATTCCCGTTTACTGCTTACAGGTAACCCATCTTTGACTATCAACAGCACCAATGCCACGCCTACACACTCCTCAGCGCAAGTACTCACCAAAACTAATCCGCATCTCAAAACTGGTCCCTCATTACTGGTTGTTGGGACACATAATGATATGGGGTTTCCCGGACGAAGGATGACACCTGGAATCACTACTGCTTCGCCCTATGACAAATGTTTCAACAAAACGGATGTGTCTCGAGTACATCCGTACCATTTTATTCAACTAAGCGAAACGGAAGCATCCAAGGCGCTTGGACAGGCTGCGGGCGAACTTGTACAGATCACACGCAATTCATTCTTCGAAATCGTCCCCAGCCCATCAAGAGCCGATAGCAGTAATTTGAATCCCATCGATATCTGGGCATGGGGTGGTCAGGTTGTCCCCCTGAATTATCAGACCGCTGGGCTGGTGATGGATTTGGCCACTGGATTCTTTGCACGCAACGGTGCTTGTGGGTATGTGCTGAAACCAGCGTTGTACAGACAGGTCTCATCATTTTTCAGTCCCTTCTCTTCACATTCGGAATTACATCAAAAGCCACCAGATACCACGCCACAGGTAAGATCACTCATACGTCTAGCTGTCACTAGCCAAATGCAGTCTCTGGCAGTGTGTGATGAGGTTTACGTTTCTATTATTTGTGGATTATTCCTCTGGTGTTTGTGCAGAAGGATGAATTTCGTGATAGTGCAATGTGAACTTTAGCTGTCTGACTGCAGGATTTTCGACGGTTACCGTGAGCACCACATACGAAGTTCCGAATTGGATAAATGAGGTCAAGGATGGGCCGACACTGTTCAGATGGTATTCGAAGGTAAGAGGCATTTGCCGGTTAGAATCTGCGTAGGGGAAGATGACCTCGTAGCATCCGTAATCAGCGCATGACTGGCGGTGTTCGCGCGGCAGCGAAGCGTAGGAGCAATACACCGGGGTATTAGTGATGCTCTTAGAGAAGCGGTTTTCAAAGGTTTTGGACCATGGCCCCTTTTTGAGTGGAAGCTGACACGGCGGACAACCTGGGACATTATTATCCACGGTACTAGACTATGGTAAGCTATGAAGGAAGCAGAGTGTACTTAAAACCTTCATCAATATACACTGAACTAACACGGATGTCCATTTTAAGTTAGTAAGGCATTGAAAGATGTTGAATGTTGGTTATAAAAGACAAAAACATATCAATCCCTAATTTGACGGCTGAAACTGCTTCTAACCTACAGTGCTGACTTATTTGATGTTCACAGTTATTGAGTGAAACTGACAACATACATCGGTTTGAGCTTCAAGTTCATCGCGGTACTTTGTTTTTATCTTTGTGTAACACGAAAATGCACCTTCACAGGGATAGGTTGTGGCAAATTTGAGGAGCATGGCGACAGCCATCTTCGCTTTGCCAACGTAAAAGTCTTTCTTTTCCAGCGGAAGTCAAGCAGCAACACTTCGTTGTACCAACTACTACAACGTCAGAATTCAACCATGAATATTTCTGTTACACATTCATCACGGTTTTGTCTTCAGCTAACGACCTATCTTTATGTTATGTGTACAAACGCTAAAATGCAAATAAATAACTAAACACCCTCATTGCAGAACAGACCACAAATTTGAGTACTTTGATAAGTCGAATTTCAAAGGAAGTAAAAAGTAAACAGTACAATCATCTCTAATGTTGCACATATAGTTTCCCTTCAATTGACATTGTTGAAGGAACACACTCGTCAAACACCGAGGGGATCACCCTTTCCTTCTGGACTTCCCTGGATGGGATCCTATCAATGGGCCTCTCATCTTGATTGGCCGACTTCGAGGGAGATTGACTTTCAAAATGACTGCAAAAGGAGGTGATATCTCGTGCCTCTCTCCGAAGGCCAAATTCTGAGTTATGTGAGCTTGGTTATACGGAAAAGGATCCGCTTAACCGTTATCAATCCCATCAGAAGAGATTAACACACTAACTTGACGACATTTGACAACTAAGTGCATTGACGTTTTAAACTTCTGCCAAACCCAGGTAAGTTCTTGGAAGGAGTTTGCATTACACTAGCCAATCACTGGGCAAGTGTAGACAATCAGATATAGGTAACGAGTTTTCACCCCAGGTTTGTCATCGAACTGTAAACTAAATTGATGGCGTCCAACAGAATTACTTCGGGAAGTCCCGTGGACATCCTGTAAACATTCCGCGGACCTCTAAGGCGTCCACGCACCATACTTTGCAAAACACTGTCTGAGAGCATTGTTACAGTATGCAGTATAGTCAGTTTTGAACCAAAACCAAGCAAACATTGCCTCCTGAGAGCAAAATTTGAGCATCCTAAGTTCCTGTTAAAAGTGCGGTACAGCAGAAACTGAAAGTCGGATTTAGTTAGTACAGTCGAACCCGCTTTATTGCCCACTTGGTTTATATCCCACCCTGCTTTAGTGCCCAAGTTTACAGAATACAAATTCTTTTCTCCTAAATATGCTAAATTTTCACCGTCTAATTGCCCATTGCCGGGGTCGTCCCACCGCTTACTGACCCAGCTGTGTGGACTGTGCTTTTGTCGCTTTGTCAACTTTACGCCCTCGCTCCGACTATCTTTTATTACTAGTACCCCACAGCTAGGCAGTCAGATCGAGTCAAGAACAACAGAGATGTCGGCGACGTTAATGGTAGATCAGAAAAGGTTACCCACCTCATTCGATACACGAGCATGCTAAAACTACAGGCGACTGTGGGCAAGCCCACGACCTTATTCAAAACTCGAGAACGGAGTAAAGTTTGGTAAACTTTCCGCCCGACATTTGTCACTACTCTATTGGTTACACACAAGTATGTCAAGTAACAGAAAGGATTTGTCTTTGCCAAAACGTTGGATGTTTTAGACAAATTAAAACAAATCCACCAGGAATCTGGCAGGTCAAGATGTCGCGTGGTTTACACATTTCTCGTCTTACCCCAGTCAGATTGATTGCTAGTGAAAAGGAACTCCGGCGGAATTTGTCACATAGCACTGCAAGCTCTCAAAAAAGGAAGCGATGTGGAAAGGATGAAGAAGAAACTTCAGTGGAAGACTGGATGCTCTCGGTTCGTGAGCACAACCAACGGCAGAAGAATTCAGAGAAGGAGTTGGAAAATACTGTGCTGCCACAGAAGGACGGTTGCGAACATGGAAGCATAGAACTCACATCATGTCTAAACGTGCACATGGCGAAAGGAGTTCCGCGGACAGAGCAGTCTGTGAATATTGGCTGAAACATCGACTGTCTGAACTTTTAGATGCTTTTTTGATTTGAAAATCACGGTAAGAAGACGAAAACTGGTAGACGCATGCATTTCGTATTGTCTCCTCAGTACCATTAACAATAACCGGTATGCAACTATATGCTTAAATATGCGTATGACCGAATCAGCATGAGGTGCAAAATGAATAACGGAAGTTGCACCCCTATGTACAAGGCAGACTTAAACTGATAAATAATTACTTTTGAACACACAGGGCCGGCTTCATCCGGCTTATCGCAACCTTGTGATGACAACATGTACAATGCAGATGAAACAGGTCTATTTTACCGATCAACTCTAGAATGCTCGTTGTGTTTTGCTGCTGACAAGCCCAGCAGATCGAAAAAGCCATGAATAGGATCACTTTCCTGTGCTGCGCGAATATGTCAGGCACGGATAAAAGAATATAGTATTGATTTATCAAGTAAGAAACCACGATGTTTTAATTGCGTGAACGTAGTTACACTTCCCGTAACTTACCGAGCTAACACAAATGCGTAGATGTCGAAAACACTTTTCACCGAGTGGGTCCTCGAATAGGACAAGGAGCTAAGCCAAAGTGGCCGAAAAATTATGATGCTCTTGCATAATTGCACAACACATCTACACATAAGTGGCCTGAAAAACAATCAACTGGGATTTTGCCGGCGAACACGACCAGCATTCTTCAATCCATGGACCAAGGTGTGATTATGAATGTAAAAATCCGTCACAGAAAGGAAATTGTGAACCGAATTCTGTATCACATCGAAAACAACGTGTTACCTGACTCCTCGGAGGCGGTGGATGTCAGCGCCAAGATTTCTGTGCTCGACGCAATTCAGTTTGTTTTAAAAAGTTGGAGACTGATTACCGGTACAACAATAATAGCATGCTTTCGGCATGCTGGCTTCAGTCGACTGGCATCTCATGTATTTTTGATGACACCGTCATTGCTGAGGACGAGATAAGCGCTTGCACAATCCCATCATCAAAGCAGAAGAGTTCGCGGCCATTGACAACGATGTGGAATGTACCGCAGATCTGACAAATGTTGAAGATGAAATGGCCAGTAAAATTTTAGAGAACCGACTAGAACAGAAAGAAAGCAGCGACTCAGAAACGACGTGCCGGATGCCTCCGTGTGTAACAGTCATCAGCGTGTGTCACATTCAAAAGCAAAGAAATATGTGAGTGATCTGTAAAGGTGCGGAATTTTGCATGGGCTAGACATCGATTTCTTGTCCAAATTGGACTTCATCAGTACAAAAGTGACTGGAGCGGTAGCACAAAATAACGTGCAACTGATGTTGCGTTGTTTCTCAGCAAAAATCTACAGTGGCCGCAGTTTTTATAGCTGTCCAGGCAAAATGCTTTGTGTAGCAATTTTTAAATTCTAGATCATACTTTTCTAAACAAACCTCTTTTGTAGGTTTTAGTTACAAGTACGTATTTTCTCCTTCTTAGTTCGTTACAATTCAAGTGATATACTGCACAACAATTCAGTGGTTGTTCCCCTTTTGGAAAAATGGCGATATCGGTTGATTAACCACCTCGCTTTCTTGCCCGATGTTGGAATATCCCAATGATGGGCAATAAAATAGGTTCGACTGTACTTGTTAGGATCGAAGGCAGAGGATAATACTTGTAACATATAAGTTCGCTGCGAGCTCGAAACATGTTTCAATGAATCCGATCTGACCATAACTGTAAGTGAGAATTGGTTGTTCACTAATTGCGAGGAATTTCTTTTCAGTTTGATTCCAGATAACAAATGAATATTTCTCCCGGAAATGTATCTTTGTTGGTGACAATCATCTCCTAATAACGTTGGACAAATTGCGGTCTCAAAGGCCATAAGATGAAAAAGTATAATTAATATAAGTGGAGTGTACATGAACCATCTCATAGGGAGTTGGGGAAAACGCCTGAACTTTAAAACAGTGATGAATTGCGGATGGTTAAGCAAGAAGTTATGGAGTTTGTGTATGCAAAACTTAGACAGCGATGCGTCTAGTTGTTGATACACTTGTGCACATTTCTGCAGACTGACCAACTGGGAATATTTCGACATAACCTGCTGGCGCAACAGCGGACCCCGGGGAATGCACACCCCTGACGAGCCCCAATCGGAAGAGCTAATCTTCTGGTGCTCTTTCGGATTGGTAGTTTACGTTTGGCTTTAATCTAATTGCGATGAACAAAGTAAACTCATACCTAAATCCGTCTACTCACCAATAATCAAATACCTTGTAGTTTTATGTTGGAATGACTTTTGTGACTAGATAGGCACGATGCAGGGTATTCAGGGCGA